AACCAGGTTTTGCACCTGCTACTCGTCGAAACCCAAGTTTTCGGTTGAAGAACCTGGCTTTGCTTCCTGAAACCCGAAAAACAAAAACAACCGTAGAAAACCCGTACTAAAAGCAGTACATACCCAGGTTTCTCCTCTGAGAACCACTTTATGTTTTTCAAACCCGCTTTTTTTGGTAGGATTTTGGAGTAGCAGGTTTGTCTAGGCTCTGGTTTCGGTCTGGCACAAATGTGGCATTCGGCACCCATCTATTCCAAAACGACGCCTAGGTTCTCAAACACCTTTTCAACAACCTCATTGCACCTTCCCTTGCACAAACATCTAAGAGCTGATTGATAGAACATATTTTTGCATCCGAGCCTTCTGTTCCTGTCTGTATCTGCTCCTTGTACTTGCATATTATCTCAGCTGATTTCAGTTTGGCTCTAAGAATTATACCTGTGCTTCCCTACTGATTCGAATATGGTGCGCATTCTGTCAAGAAGATGTTCACTCAACTACCTTGTTTTACCCTCCCCCTAGTTTGGCTTGTTTTGTTCCAAGCTCTCAGTATTGAATAGGGTGTGGGCAAACTCAATAAAACACGTCCCCTGTGTGTTTCCCATTTGGTTAAATTAAGCGAATATGAGCTATGTAGCGCACAGCAAAACGATCCCGGGATCCCCTAAAGAAACCGCAAGCCGCCAGGGGGTCCAATTCAAGTCATTCCAACTCATTCACTGCCTATCGAACCAGCAACTTCTCAGTGGCCAATGGTGGCCAATGGGCCAATGGCGGCTTTCACCTGGCGAGAGTCCGTCTGGTTCCTGCCAAAAGTGGGGCCCGGCAACTTCGAATTGGTGGTTTGGATTGGCCAACCCATCCAATTCGCTAGTTTCCTTTTAGCCTTTAAAGGCTGGTTGTTCCCTTGGCTCCCTATGCAGGTTAACCTGCTGGTGCCCACCAGGGAAGGACCCAGAGTTTGGGAATGAGCCTAGGGAATGACTCGGAATGACCTGAAAGAAAACCACAAGGGATGGTTCTAGGCGTCATTCCCTGCTGAGAGACCCAGCAAGTTGATGGATGCAGTGGTTGGAAAGGCCGGAAGTTGAAATCTTCTTCGTCGAGGCACGCGCTGGCGCAAGGCACTCCATGAGGTCCAAAATCACCAGGCGCTGACCCGAGTCTGACCAGTCCGACAGCAGCTCCTAGCCGAACCCCCCCCTTTCCCCGAATTTCGGTGGCCAAAAAGACTTAACTACTTGGGCAAAGTGCCAAATCTTAAGTGTGGAAGGACACCATCAAAATCGATTTGAAGGGGGCAAGGACCTATAGGGAAACCAAGTTCTGAGAGACCTATATGGGAAAACAGATTGGAACCCAATTTAGTTGGGGACAAGGAGCCCTTTGAGGGCCTTGGTTCTTGCTTGAACTTGCGGGAAACAACACTCGGGAGGGGGGGGGGCCCTCTGCGGCTCAAGCAGTTCCAATTCGAAGGGCCCGGGTCCTCGTAGGGCAGCAGTGGCGGGACTTGTGAGGTGACCTCCATGAGGTCACTGCATGCTTCCTGCCGGCGAAAGGCGGGTGAGATGCGGTCCTGTGTTCAGGGACGCCCACCACCTCCCCAAAGACTCACACAACTTGTCAGTTCTTTTGGCCTGATGTGGCCTAATTCTGCCCACATAACAACCCCTGCGGCTTTGGCTTGCTTGTAGGGTCGCTGACTTCTGCATGAGCTCATGCGAATGTAGTGGGCACCGGCTGAATGGTTTGATAAGGCTTGTGCACAAAGCAAACCCTTTTGCACGGTCAGGCGCCGTTGTCGAAGACACACAGACAAAGGCTTTGCTGAAAGCGCTACCTGGAGTCTCCATGATCATTGAAAAATTGCTCCATGCCCCCTTTATTTTGGGTAATGACCCCATTGTTTAAAGGGTCATGCAGACTCCAGGTAGTCTGTTTTTTCTCGGTCCATTCTGAGGAAAAAACAACTTGAAAGGTGGCGACTGGCTTCAGCACATCCTGGTTGGACCCTGTGGCAATTTGCATAGTTAGCGCTTCTAATTGTGGGGTAGGCTCAGCCGAGAAAAGTCGCACACCGATCCTTTCCGGTGATCTTTGCCCCCCCCCCCACTTCCGATGAAGTAGTGCCGTGCCCCATGGAAAAGAAACAAACAATTGCACTGCAAGAGACGCCCAGACATGTCTTGGATCACAAAAAAACACCTGAAAGGCATTGAAAGGCTGTTAAGTGGGTGACTTTTTTTCGTCAGCCATGACTTCTGCAAGATCTTGTCTTATTGTTTGGCGGGATTACTACACATTCTTGGCGCCGTTACCCTTTCTTCAGCATTGTTACCGTACTGTTGGTGAGGATACCTCCCCACCAGTCCTGCAAGCACTGCAGGAAGGTCTCGGCCCACTTCTGTGCCGTGTGCTCCGTGACGTACTTGAAGGCGTACTCTTGCAGAGCCTCGCGCTCCTCAGAAGACATCGTCAACGCCTCATGGATGGCGTTGGCCTCGGCGCGCGCGTTTTTGCGGATGTTGCGGAGGCTTCGGGGTTCTGTTGTTTTTTTTTTCTTCTTTTTTTTTTTTCTTTTTTTTCGGGGGGGGGGGGGGGGGCGGGGCTCCCCGATTTCTTCGCCGAGAAATGGAATGAGATGCAGGGAATGAGAAATGGAATGACCCCGATTAAAACCATCCAACTGGTGGTTTCCTTTCAGGGGACCCCCAGTTCATTTCAAAGCTTCCTTACTGAGCACCAGTCAGTTTTTCGCAGGACACGGGGGGCCTTCCCTTAAGGAAAGTCAACTTCCAAAACCCTCGGCTTCTGTGCATGGAGGGAGGGTACCCCAGAAGGATTTGAAGATAAGCCAAGCGGTCCAATGCGTTCCAGCCAGGGACTTCTGGGTTTGAGCGGTGCAGTCAAAAAATGCTTGGCAGCCCTTGTGGGCACAAGCGGGTCTCTAGAGGCCATGGAAACAGTCAACCCCTTGGAGAATTATGTAGAACAAGAAGCGAACAGGATGCCACTGACAATTGTGCCGCACTGGTGAAAAGGGCACTGGTTTTTGTCATGGGGCGAAACAAGCAAGTCCAAGATACCATCATGGCGGCCAAGTGGCAGTGTCTTGCAAGTGCCAGGGGTTCACTCGGATCGAACCGGCGCCCAGAGATTGGGCGGCGCCGGCAAACTCCGACAAGATCAGCACTCCAGGGTGCTGCTTCCCATGCTGGCAAGCAATGTATTCGTAGGAGACCAAGTTCATCCCGTCCCTGGCGCGTGTCACTAGGGAGTATGGGCATTGACTCGTAACATTAGCCACGATTGGAAGGTTCATGCCCGCATTTATTTATCACTAGGAGTGAACAAGTCATTTCCAGGTTAGCCCTTTCAAAGCCTGGCAAGGTCACCAGTCCAAGACACTGCCACAAAATGACTAAAAGGGGAAACAAATACAGAGCCGCAGGTGCCTTAGGGAGGTGATGAGGGCCACATCCGCGACATTGTACAAGGCAGTGAGGTCATCCGGAGACATGGAGGAGTCCATGTAGATCACCGGCACTCCGGCGGAGATGGTGGAATGCTTCCCGCTGATCTGGCCCACCAGCTCGTGCACCTGGCGCTGCAGCCGCTGGTACTCAGGCACATCGCGCCGGCTCGGAACCGCTAGCTGGACCTAAGCTTGGTTGACGTTGGAAGGGGAGCAAAAATATGTTTCTTGGCAGTTAATTGGGGATTTCCCACTAAACCACAATAAGCAAAAATGTAAAATGTTTCCCAACGACAACCATGTAAGAGATCTGACTCAACAACCTGCAACAGACCACAACTTCTTTGCTACAGGGCAGCCGAAGGAAACCCAAAGGTGGGTTTAGAAGACAATGAATTAAGTGTGGCGATGGCACTAGTACACACTTGTCCGCCCAGTCTGGGTGATGCTCCAGGAAACAGCCGAAGGCCATGAGCTTGTGGGGGATGCCCTTCATGTAGTCCAGCCGGTCAATGCCAAGGATCACCTTTCGCCCTTCGTACTGCTCATGAAGATGTTCGATCTTGCTCTGCACTTCAGGCTTTTTCATGGCCCAAAGGAACTCGTCAGGAGAAATGCCGATCGGAACGGTCGCGCATTTCACAATGCATCCGCCAATGGTCGTGGCATCAATCGTATGCGCGGAAATCTCCAAGGACGTCAGCTGCACGCAGGAGCTCAGAAAATGCCGTAAGTAGTCATAGACATGAAAACCCAAGAGGTTTGAATGCAGCAAACTCTCAATAATTTCCTGACGCCAGGGAAGCGTTCTATAGATTTCGGCGGATGGGAAGGGTGTATGCAGGAACCAGCCAATATTGCAGTCCGGTTTGGCTTCTCGAAGAAATTTGGGAACCAACATCAAATGGTAGTCATGAATCCAGACATAGTCGTCATCTTCGTACACGGACAAGATCGCCTCCGTAAATATTTCGTTGGCTTTCTTGTATGCACCCCACTGCTCTGTGCTGCACTCGTTCACGCCCTTGTCGAAGGGAGGCATGATGTAGTGAAACAGTGGCCACAAGACGTTGTTGGCGAAGCCGTTGTAGTACCTCGGCGCGGGACCCACACGACGACTAGGTCCTCCAGTAGAGAGGTTAGAATAAGGGTACCCTTTTTCTGTAGTCTATTTTAGTCGGGGAACCCTCCCCAAAAAAGGGTAAAAGGGGACTACTGGGGGACCTAGACGAGCAGACCAGGCAAAGCTGCACAAGACTATGTTGTGAGGTGTGTTTGGCTTCGGTGGACTTCACGCGTAGCAGAATGCCTGACAATACACTGCACCGGTGCATCTGTGTTGCAGAGTTAAGCAAAAGCCACCAGCCTCAGAAAACCTGAACCGAGTCCCCAATCCCGAGCTGTCTCCCAGGATGCTGGAAACAATGCCAATCCGTGTCCATGCAGCCTGTTGGAAAGCTTCATGTTCCACCATCCGGCCAAACAAACGTAAACTCGGCTTTGGCAAGTTCAAGGAGCCAAGGATTCCATCAGTATTCAAAGCCCAGGGTGAAGTTCCGTTTTCCCCCAAAACACCAAGGCCAATCACGTCTTGGAATTGGACACCCCAAACTCATGTTCTTCAACACCCCAAAAGTTGCTGTCGTACTAGGACCCCCGAAGCTGAAAATAGGGAAACCCTCAGTTCCCCCCCTCCCTCCACCCTCCACCTCTCCCCCCACCCCCCCACCAACCGCTGACCAGAAAATGTCTCACTTTGCTAGGCTGGAATTAGGACCCCTGCAAAAAAAATATCTTTTTTGCCTGGTTCGTGGAAAACAAAGGGACCCCAAGAAGGCAAAAAAAAGGGGGAGCTAATTCAGGGGAAGTTTGGGTGAGCAAAGGCACTCGTCAATCAGACTCTGCCGCAGGAAGACCGGGTAGCAGCCCTGCTTCATGGCCTCGTTGGCCACCATCTCCTTCTCAGTGTCGTTGAAGTCCGCCCCCGGCCAGCCCAGCCAAACCATGTCGAACCTGCCGTACAAGCGATTCAATGTACATGTGAATGGGAACACGCGGGCAAATATGTATATATATATAATGTCCAGATAAAAAAGATATATATATATAGCAAATATATATATATATATGTGTATATATATATAGGTACATATGTATATATGGTCCCGGGCTCCGGGTTCCTACTCCCCCCCCCCTCAATGGTATCCCCCCCCCCTCCCCCCCCCCCCCCGCAGAACCCGACCCCAGGAGAAGCCTGCTGTTGCGGTCCCCACGCCCAGGCCCCTTCACCCCGCGAACCCACACCTCAGCACGCCCTGCGCCCCAACAAGCCCTAAACTAACCCTAAACCAACCCTAAACTAGCTCGAAACAGGCATCTTTAAATCAATACTTGACATGTTCTGAACACACTATAAACCAAGCCAGAACCAACTTAATCAACCCTAAGCCAACCGTAAACCAACCTTAGATTAAACCAACCCCTAAGCCAACACTAAACACACTCTAAACCACCCCGAAACTAACCTAAACCAACACTAAATACACTCTAAACCAACCACAAACCAACCTTGAACCAACCCTAAACACATACTTCAAACCAACACTAAACACACTCTAAACAATCCCTAAACCATCCTAAACCACTACAACTAGATCAACCCTAAACCAACCCTAAAACCACACCCCATCCACACCACAGGGGGGCGGGGGGGAGGACTGGGAACCATGGGGGGACTTGCCCTTGACCATATATGTACGTACGTATGTATGTATGCGTGCGTGCATGCCTGCATGTCTGCATGCACGTATTACGTCTCTCTATTCATATTAATATGTGTGACATTGTGACTCTCAATGGAACGTGTCTGGCCCTGAGGAAGTTGTTGACATGGGTATGCTTTGATTCGTGCTTCGGGGTATGCTTCGGGGATATTGGTGGGGGTAGTTGTCTGTGACAGTAGTAGTGGTAGTGGTAGTGGTAGTGGTATCCTTAACTTCCATTTGGTTAAGCCCACAATAGAAAAATGGGAAAATATGTCCAGTAGTGAAATCGATTCCCTTTAAACCAGGGGAAATATAAAGCACGCATTCAATTCGGAAAATGGAGGTTTCTGAGAACCTAAAGAATATACTTAATACTCATTTGGCCATGGGTCAAAATCCAAATCGTGCCCCCAGTGATCATCCCAACCCACTAGAATAGACTAATATGGGTGGTGCACCTACCCCAAAATGGGATCCCATTGGTTTTGACAACCACAGCCATTTCAGCGAATGGAAGTTATTAGAACCTGAGGGGTCCGAGTTGGGTACCTTCGAAGATGGAACAGATGGAAGGTTCAGCATGGCCTTCAGGCAGCTTCCTTCTAATTGGAAGGAGGGGTTTCCCCATTTCTGCAAAAGCCAGGGCTTGAAATCCCAATCCAAACCATTTACCCTCTACAAAAGCCATTGAAAGCCAAATCCAGACCAATCCCAACCACCACTTTGCCAACAAAAAAAAAGCTGATTCCAGGCTTTTCGACTTCGGATCTGGCGCGCTGCTTTTCTTTTGGTCTGGGCGGCCGGGGCGCTTCTGCTGGATCCCGGCCAAGCACGAGACCAGGCCCCCCGAGCAGCGCTCGAAGGTCCAGTTCCCCTCTGCGTCGCGCTTGGGCTTCGTGGGCAGGCGGTTGGCCACCACCAGGATCTTCTGCCTCCTGGCGGACGAGAAAAAGAACACACACTAAAAACACAGAAAAACAACAACAAACAACACAGGGTCCCATGAAGAAAATGCGGATAAAGCCAAACACAAATAAAGGGATCCACGGGGAAAAAGCAAAAAAACACAGGGGTGCCAAGAGAAAAGGGGGAGCAATATCAAACCAAAACAGCCACAAACAAAGGGATCCATGGGAAAACACCAAACAACCGGGAAGAAAAAAAACGAAGTCCCGGAGGAAAATGAGCATACCTTCTGGGGGGAAGAAAAACAAAACAAAAGCACAGGAATTTACGAGAAACAAACACTTGGATATGTTTCCTCTCCAACCACTAAAAAACAGCCACAAAAAAACACAGGGTCCCAGAAAAAAAGGGGGGAGCACTCCTGGGGAAGAAAAGACCAACAAACAAAAGAAACAAAGGGATCCGTGGGGAAAGCAACCAACAAAAATATGGGTCCAAGAAACAAAAGGGGCGGCAATCAAAAGAAAAAACAACAAACAGGGGAGCAGAAAAAAAGAAACAACCAAAAAACAAGGGATCCATGGGAAAGAATTGGATTTTCTTCTTCGCCAACCACTAAAAGCAAACAAAGACATGGGTCCCAGAAAAGAAAAGGATCGTTTCTCTTCAACCACTTTGGTGCTTGAGATACGTGTGCCTATGCAAAAGACTTTGGAATGTGAACGACTGTACTTAAAATTGAAATCAAACATGTACATGGGGCACTGGATGTCTGCATTTCTGCGTCGTGGGTTGCGTTGTCAGGTCAGCCACGCGGCAATTGTCGGGTCTTGACATTGCTGTCATCCCCCACCCTTCCGGCAGGGAAAAATGAATGAACCCAGTACGTATTTCGCAGGCTTGTGGCCTGAAGTTGTTTGCGCAACTGCTCCCTTCCTGAGTAGACAAACAAAGTAGCCAGACTTGTTCTTTACCACTCAAACGGTCCAAACCCAAACAAAGTCCAGAAACTCGGGGAGTTAGAACAGCAAAGTCGCACGCTGCCCTCCCGCTGCCAGTCTGGCACACACGCACCTCACACCCGGTCCTGTGGGAGTGCTTGGTTTGAAGCTGGGCTTTCACGCTCTGCTCGAAGTCTTGCTTCTGCAGCCGTTTCCTGCAAGAGCTGTCGCTTCATGGTGCACTGCAGCCTTTCCAACAACAACAAAAACCATAAATAGGTGGTAATGTTAACCCCGGATTAATAAACCCCTGGTTGATTAATAGGGGGGTGTCCCCTTTTAGCGGGGATTCCATCACTTTTGGAGGGAACACCCCCCTAATAGTGGGACGGGTTTATTAATCCTGGGTCAACATTATCCCCAACAGCTCTGCCGGAGCTCTCCCTCAAACCAGAATCAAACCAGAATGCTTCTCACATGCGGCTCGTTTCCCGGTTTGCAATCCACAAGTTGGCCCCTGATTCAGGGGCCAAGCCCGCCTAGAACAAGGGAAGCTCAGATCTTACAAGGGGTTTTCTGTGAGAAACCGAGTTGTAGGTCAATGGTAACTCCTCACTTCCTGAGAGGAGCGGCCAACAAAAAGTCCGAACTGTTTGTTTACCACTAAACTGGTCTTCCCACAAAGTTTAAAGCGCAGGAACTCTGGAACTGACTAACTCATAAACTCAGGCTGCGCCTGGGGTGGGACTGTTGCCATCATAGGTGCGCACTTGAGATGTTCCATTGGGCACGGGGTTTCGGCTGAGTTGGCCAAAAATCATGGCAACTCAAACATGCGAGAGGACTGAACCGGAGGCCATGTGTTAAGGAACGCCCTCTTCCGGAAGCCTCCGGCAGAGGGCCAACTCGAGCAGGCGCCATGCCAGATGAATCGAGCATGCGTTTGCTGAGGCCCCGCCGCACCAGAAGGCGATTTCGGGGTGGTTCCTTGACTGATAGACTGGGGGTACACCGGCATGGCTGAGGCGAACATGTCTGAACCTGAGGCTTTGCGAACCTTTGCAAACCCAACCAAACTAAACCAAACGAACCAAACCAGCAGAGGCGAACGTTTGCGCATGCTTATCTACAATTGGCAAAAGCGAGGAAGATTGCGAACCCAACCAAGTATGCCTACCCTCGAAATTGTATAGGCGAACTCTGCGTGAATCCCAAACAGCCTAGGCAAACCTTGGCGAATTCATTGGTACCGACCCTGTAAAGTCTCGGCCACATAGGCTGAACTTGGTCCATGAGCCACCCCCTGTCCTGATGTTCTCCTGCACCAGCTGGTTGTCACGGTTCAGCTGGTCTGCTCGAGGCAGCAAAGCACTCCCTCCTAAAGACATCCTTCTCACACGCTAAGAACGCTGGTGCTGCGCCCGCGCGGGGTTTGCCCCCGTGGCGGGCGCGCACCGTCGTCTAATTCCATCTCCATCGGCGCTGGTAGACTAGCCTGAGCCTGAAAGCACGCAAAAAATGGCTTGTGCAAGTGGCGGAGCCAGTGATGCGAATGTGGAAGCTCTGCGGGACCTGTTTTCAGCAGTGCAAGGTCGTCTAAAGATCTGTGTCCACATTGGAAGAGCCACAGCCCCTGCGCTCTTAGGGAGCGGGGGTCCTGACCAAACCAGCGTGCCCTGTAGATCCCTGTAGGTGTTACTGCTGTTGAGGTGGCATTCTGCAGCTCCTGCGTGCAACGGCATGCTTGCCACCCAAAAGAAAAAGAAACCAACTAAGAAACTGGAAGCTCAACATGGAATTAGCCTTTGCCAGGCCCCCAGAAACATGCCCCCGATTCTTGGCCATGAGGGTGAAACGTGGTGTCCCCAAGGTCGAACACCAACGGCTGTACACACCCCATACGGCCGCGTGGAAGCAAGGCGATGGCCTCTAGAGCAAGCTGGCCCGCGAAAGTTGTTGCGGGCCCTAGGATGCGCTGCATTGTTTCGCACAGCAGGCAACTCCTTGCTGAATTCGGTTGCGGCAACTTGAGATCCCTCAGTCGCTGAAGAACGCCTCGCCCAGGAAGTCCAAAATATTCCTGAGCTGACGGATCTCGCCTAACCATTGGCAAGTCATGAAATCTGAGCCCAGCATCTCTTAAGCTTGCCATCCGGCTATCCTTGGCCTCTTTGGGGCCGGTAGGGGACACATGGGACACCAAAGGACAATGACAGTTTGAATTATGTTGTTTCATTTTTTCGGCTGGGGGGGGTGGCTCTTGAAAGACAAACGCCAGATGGTCACTGTGCGTGGTTGCACGAGGTAAACTGCCCCTATCTCTCAAGCAAGGCTTTCTGGCCTTTTGCTTGCCCCGTTGAAGCGGCATTCTGCCAAAGTGGATGACACAATCTGCCAAGTTCCACCTTTCCACAAGGGACTTGTGTCATCTTTTTTCACCCTCTCTGAATTCACCATGAATTCCCACCATACTCGGAACCCTAGAACCTTGCTTGAGATCGTTGAGGCATGCTCGCTTGGCAAAGGGTGAAGCAAAAAATGGCATCTGCCGTGAGTGGCTGGCTTCCCCCTACATGGCTTGGAGCCCAGTGGTTTGGTGGTACCCCTTCTACCCTCTACAAGAATCAGGGATCCTTACATTATACACCTGAACATTGCCTTGTAAATGGTGGTGTCCCTTTATTTTGGCGGAAAAAGCCATGCTTGAAATGGGCAAAATGTATCTTTTAAGGAGCCCTGAAGAACCAAGGGAGTCAAATCCAAATCCAAACTACCAGTTACCGTACCCACACAGAAGGACACCATGGCGAAATCCATCATGAATAGTCTCAAGTTTATGCTTGAAATCAGTGGACATTTGACATCCACCCCCATGTTTGAGACTCCCCAATCCAACAAAGGGTTCACTTTTGGGAACCCAAGGTCAAACACAAGAGAGCCCACCCGAAACGAAAGAGAGCAAACACATGCGCCAGCTTGCTTTAATGAGCCCAAAGGAAGTCAGCTTCCTGTGATTCTATTCTTTGGTGGTTTGGAGCGTGATTGGGTGGTTGGGGGGAGGTTCCCATTTGCCTACAAGAACCAGGGGTTGAAATCCAAATCCAAACCACCTATCGAAACCAGCTAAGGGTTACCTCGTGAGCCCAAAGGGACGTTTCCCGAAAGAAACAACGGGGGTTGCCGGCCGCTTGGCTCAACTGAGCCGCTTCTGGCTGAACTTGGACTGCTGGAGCTGCGGGTGGGCAGCCTTCACACGACTTTTGATGGCGTCGATGCGGGGGTGGAGCTTGTCCACCAGGGAATGGATCACAAAACTGCCGTACCTGGAGCGAGCCAGCCGTGGGTATGGATTGCTGCGTGTCTTGCTTGTTTCTTTAGTCAGTTTTCTTTTTTTTGGGGGGTTGTGCGGCTTTTTGATCCTGCAAAGAGTGTATAACATTTCGCAGCTTAGGAGGTATCCCAAAAATTGAAGTCTAAAGATCCAACCCCTCAAGTTTAATCTTCTTTGAGGAAAAAGGATGGGTTTAAAGGGAAAGCAAAAGGACAACCTCCATGAAATCAGAGGTCCAGTAGAAGGAGTTGTTTTGTATAATTGGGTCCATGGAACTGCCATCCTTGGTTCTTGCTCTCATGGTGATGTAAAGGGACACCGCCCCAAATCGTGACTTGAGAACTCGGCAAAATGTTCACTTTGATTTGGGGAGGCAGGGTGAGGTCATTGGCTTCTGGCGACATCACCAACCCAACCGGTTGGAATGTGCTCCCCGCGGTGAACGAAAGCTTTGCCAGGCTCAAGACTCAAATCAAGGAGCAACACGTCTAGAGTCCAGTTGCCCGGCTCCAACCTCTCTGTGGACCAACATGTTGAAGCTTGGTCAACGTGCCTTTTGATGAGAGTCGTCCTTGACACCTCACAGCTTGAAAAAGCTGAAACAGGCTCATCATTGCAGGCGCGGCTCTCCCCTGCGCTGCTTAGAAGCTTAGAAGGCTCTCTATGGCCACGGGTCAACATCCCAATCCAACCACTAAAATAGGTTTTCTAAAATGGGTGGTGAATTCACCTACCCCAAAACGGTATTGGTGTTGACTCGTCACATCGATGCGTAAAGTTTCCCTTCTGATTTTTGCGGGTTGGTGGCAGGCCGCTCGACGCAGACTCAGCCCTTTCGCCTTGTGGCCGCAATCGTCTCCAGGCTGAAGTCCCCCTCTCCAGCAAGGAAGGCGTCGGCGATCAAGGCCTGCGGGCTCGGAGAGAGACCGGGGGCAACGCTTGAAGCCATGGGGTCGAAGATGTGTGGCCGTATGCTCGTGTCTTTCCTTTTTTTTTGTGTGTGTGTGTGTGTTTTGTTGTTCATGTATGCAAACATTCAACGTATATATGTAGATATACATATGGACAGTTCCGGAGGTCCCCCTCATACATGTTACATGTATGTAGATGTTTATGTATGTGCATATGTACAGCTCCGGAGGTCCCGAACTGTGAAGGCGAAATGGTCAGTCCAGCAAAGACATGACTGAACTAAGAGCTTTCCAGAGACCCGAAACTAGCAAATCAACCCAGCTGACTTCCAGGCCACAAGGAGGCTCCATTGAGGTCTGGGAACATCTGCTTCAAGCTACGCTTGTGTGCCTCTAGCCAAGTAGCCAAGCTCACAAAAAAGGCTGCGTCCATGCGAAACATCGGGCTGGACTTCTCAAGGGATCACGTGATCCTGCGACACTGTAATGCACCCGGAGTAATACACCCGGGGTGTCCATTTCTAGTGGGGGTTCATCACATCTGGCGGGAACCCCCATGAGCAGTGCCCATGAACTCGGCAAGCTGCTGGAACCAGCAGGCCACTCACAGCCTTCGGTTCCCAGCCTGGCTGCTGACGTCAGCATGCTCCAGCCTTGCATGCTCTGGACATGGGAAAAAGCCGAAAACAGTTTCCTACCAGTTGAGACTCGGCAAGCCAAAAAAAAACTGCCAAACAAAAGGAACCAAGGGTGTGGGAAAGCATAACTCATACATACACGTGCATATACATAAACATGATAAATACGGCATTCCACATAGAACAACAACCCTATTTACTCCAGCGGTTGCGCCAACCAAAAATGAACTGGTTCATAGTCCGTATTTGGTGAGCTCGGTGAACCTGAACATGCAAAAACAAACGCGACATCCCACCAGAACAGGTTCTCACTTCTTGAGTGGGTTGGCCAATTGCAAGCTTGTGTTTGCCTCAAATCATGGGGGCGGGGGGAGGGATGGGGCCCTTAATCAGGCCTTACCCTCCCCCTCCCCTCCTTCCAGCCCCCGTGATCAAATGGTCGTCCCCCAACACAGACAGTGAGTTGTCCATCCCCCTCCCCTCCTTCCAGCCCCCGTGATCAAATGGTCGTCCCCCAACTCAGACAGTGAGTTGTCCATAATCTCACTTCCTGAGTGGATTGGTCGGAAATCGTCCAAACTTTTTGTTTACCACGAGAGTGGTCCACCCCAAAAACAATGAAAGTCCAAGAACTCAGGAAGTGAGAATGGTCTTCCCCAAAGGTATGCCCATGAAGTCAGGGAGTGAGTTGTTCATATGCACGCCGTGCGGCATGCGCTGGACCACGTTGCTGGCGGTCTTGTGGGTGGCGTGCTGCAGGACGTGTGGCAACAGCCGCCGAAAGCATAGCGCCTGGTCGGGGCTTCAAATGGGAGTTGATGAAAACGTCCTTGACAAAGGATGACCATTGGGGGAACCACAAAAAGATCATATCTCGCACTCACTGGGAAAAGTTACCATGGTCATTTTGGGGGCCAGAATGTTGATAACCCCCCCCCCCATCTCAAGAGCAAGCCCAGGTGAGCAGCGTCCAAAACCCATTGACTTTCGGTTGCACTCAGGTGGCCTTCGCTTCTTAGATAGCCGCTGCAACCCCATGCAAGCCAGGTATAGCGGAACCACCTACTCAATAACCTGCTCTCTGCACAAATCGGGCTCCGGCCCCAAGCCTCATACCCCCCCACAATCATGGAAGCGCAGGCCTGGCAATTCCAGGTTTGGTGGGGGGAGGGTAAGGGAACATTGTAAACATACAATGCTCGAAAGGACTCAAAAGGGAAATATGCTTGCGTCTGCGTTTAAGGACTTCTTTAGGCTGGCTGTTGGCCGGTGCATTTCTTGTTTTGAGACAAGCCCGTAAATGCCATGACTGATCCATGCAACACATATCCTCCTGACAATCTTCTGACATTGGACACCACTCCGACTCCCTCCAAAATGTATTGGACAACCGCTGCGCAGGCGCCCCGCTTACTTCTTTTCGCAGCCCCACGACCCAGTCTGACACGCACAACACCGCAGAGGCTTTCAGAGGTTTCTCTCGGCTATGGGCTTCCCTTCTTTTCACAACACTCCACACCGCCTCTCTCTGACTTCCCGCCCGCCCCCCGGCTCGCTCCGGCCGCCGGGCCCCCAAACAGGGGCCATGCCCCGCCGAATCGCCGCCGAATCGATTCCGCGACATCCCAACCCGCCGAAGCGAATCGCGCCTTGCGGTCCTCGAGGCCGTGCTCGAAGATGTGCTGCACCACGAAGTTGGCGAAGGGGTGCCGTGCCAACGCCTCGAGGTCCTCGGACGCCGGAGTCATCCGTCATGCGTGCCAAGGCGGAGAGGGGGACCGGGTTCCACTTTTTGACATTTGCCAACCCAAGATAGACCTAAACCCAGGGATTCTCTTTTCGCACATGTTTAAGACGCGTCCACCTGCCAAAAGGCCAACTGTTGAAAACCCAAAGACCCCCCCCCCCCCGGCCGGTTGCATCTTTAGCCGTGGCTCATCCATCAGCTCGTCCAGCAAAAAGCCAATCTGCTCCTCTCGATTAACTCAGGCTCAGCCGAAACGCACAAGTGGCGCTCCAAAACATGTGCCGACATGGCGCCTTGGTAAATGGAACAAAGACTAAAACTTGCGCAACCCTAGCTCCCTCTACCTGAAAGGGGGACATGGGATCAGAAATGAAGTTCTAGAAGCCGCCCCCCTCCCCCAATGCCTTTTTTAGGGGGTGGGAATACTTATTTGCGTAAGGTGATTAAGCCTGGGATAGGACTCCCACCATTGATCGGGGTTTCTTTGATGTATCTTTCAATGCAAGCTCGACAAAGGTGCCTTCAACACAGAATCGCTTTGTTCCAGCACCCTCCGACTACTGTTGTCATGTTATTTTCGTAACGGCCGTCTATTTAGAAGTAGTTCCGAAAATAACACAACAAACAGTAAATCCCCGATCTACGAATCTACGGTTGTTGCACGTTCTTCCCTACCAATTTCCAAGCCCACAGGGTGACACGCAAGTGACACGCAGGGTGACACGCATGTGACACGGACACGGGGGCGACACGGAGGCGACAACGGGTGACACGCGTGACACGCGGTGACACGCGGGTGTCACGCTTTGGCGCTTGCTGCATTTGCTGCCACCGCTAGCAGTAGTTGGACTATGGGCATCCCGCAAATAAAACAAATAACAATAGTTGCTCTAACTACGGTATTTTTTGGAAAATTCTATCCGCTGCCCCCGGGCAGTAGTTGGGGGGTGCTGGTTTAGAGTTGTACCCCTTTGATCCGGTTTGAAGACAGCCGAAACATGTCGATTCCATTTCAAGCGAGGCCATCGACAATTCCAGCGTCGTCGCCCCCTCTCCCAAAGTCCTCGCTGCAATGCCTGAGCTAAAGCTTTGCATGCAAAGCTCGTAGATCAGCATGTGGCCCACCGGAAAACCAATAGGGATGTCTGAAACGCCGAGAAACCACCAGAAACATAACGTAGCATCACTGCAAAGAAACAAAAACAACATGGAGGATACCAACCTAGAGCACAAAGGTGCACAAGAGTTTCCAGGGCAAACTGTGACTGAATCATTGAACTCAAAGGCAGGAGCATCGAGCTTAGTCGACAAACTTGGGCACAAACCGCAGGTCTGGGACTTGCTCAGTGAGGCCTTAACGGTTGGAGGGGCTGTTGGGCGCCTTTTGTTCCCCCGCCGGGAAACGAATCCGATGGATCCGTTCCGAAAAATCGATCCCAGGGGCTCCATGAGCCGCTCCAGGATGCGGCTCCCGAACTGGTGCCGCGCTACGGTGGGGGCCTGGCTGCGCATCGCCTGGGCCGGGGAATTGGCCGCGGGGAGCTCGGTGCCCAAGAGGCTCAAAGCCTGGGAAGCCTGGGACCAAGCGCCCCCCCTTTCAAATGTCCGCCCGAAGGACTCAAGTTGCGATAGTCCGGCCACAAATCCCTGCAGCTTGAACCCGTTGCGTCGCTTCAGCTTGTCCCCTTCACCACACACAAAGTGGGGATGCTGGGATGTCCAACAAGTGAGGTGAGTGTTCTGGCTGAGGGTAAATTGCATCACCGCAACATCAGAGAACCTTGCGTTTAAACATGCGACAACCGCCCTGCAAAGTAGCCCCCGAGCGCCGAAACGCCTATGGCTGCTGACTAGCACTCATCCCTGCAAACTGACATACACGTACACATCATGCACCCATTCAAACGGAGCGGAACAAACATCAACACCAATTCAATCACCTACGCCTGCAAGAAAAGCAGCAGCATAATAGAAGGCACAAAAGCTGTCGCGTCAGACAGCTAACAAAACACCTACACAGGCGCACACAAAGCCGCAAGCACCAATGCATACATCATGCATTGTAGCACTGAGCCCGCTCGCCGTAAGCATGCACCTCAGAGCTTCCACAGGAAGCGGAACGGCACACCAATCAAAGACGCCTCGGCGATGCACACCAGCCGCGAAGAGGGCAGCACTTCAATGAGCTTGGCCAAGACGTGGTTCCTGGGAGCGCCGTTGGCGAGTTGGAGTGGCGGGCAATTGGGCGGACTAGCGAAGGAATGTAAAATTGAAGTTCTGTTTCAACTGCACAGTGCCCGTGCTTAATTCAGGTGGAACAGCTTTGAACAGCTCTCTCGTCAAATTGGTATCACGGGGGGCTTTCTCACCCAACCCTAAGGGTCATATGACCCCTCTAATGCAGCCCAGACCCTCCAATGGAGAACCCCGACCCTTCAGGGGCTCTTGGAAACAACCAGTTTTTAAGGGGAAAGGCTCACGCCGCCACCGCGCGCGCATGTGCGCGCGCGCGCGCTCCACAGTCCACCCTGGACCTCCGCGCTTGGCCATGGCTCCCGTGGGGGGAGACGTACAGCTCCGTGGCGAAGTGCAGCAAACCCGCGAAGCGCTCCCGCTCCGCGACGCAGGCGCCGGCGATGGCCTTCTGCCTCAAACGAGAAGCTTCACGGCGAACGCTGCCTCGTAGTTTTTCAAAAGAACCCCTGGGTCGAAGGGTTTGTGGGTAGGCCTCGAAAATGGAGCCAAACCCACTAACTGGGGGGGAGGGGGGGTTCCATGGGCGGGTGCAGCATGGTGATGCCCTGCTCAATGGGTCGGAGTTAAGGGAAATCAATGAGCTACGCATAGAAAGAAGCAAGCGTCTTATCTTGGTTGCTGTTGGCCCCCAAGTGTTCAACTTTCCGCGGGTCCGAGTCCAATACCGACAATCCCATCTGTTTCACCCAACAAAAGTTGAAGTCCAAAGATCCATTCCCGAATAATACCGACAATCCCTTCGGTTTCACCCAAAAAAAGTTGAAGTCCATCCAGCTTCATACGCCGGAATGCACGGGCTTGCTTCGCCCCCGGTTGCATCTCATGCAGATCCCCTGGGCCCCCGGCACCACCCGCGACCCGAACTGCGTCAGCGCGAGCGCTTGCACGTTGCACAGGACCCAGGACATGACCTCGGACCTGCGAAGCGGCGCGCGCTTCGGGGGTGGGCGCTGGAAAAATGGAAGCCCCAGCAAAGAACGCACTTTTTTTATGGTTCCTGGTGAGATAAAAGCAAAGGGGACCCGAAAAAGCGCCAAAAAGGAAAAAAGAAAAAGAAAAAGAAAAAGAAAAGGGGAGCTAATTAATTCCTGGGAAGTTGAAATGAGTCTTCTGCTCCAATGCCCGCCCACCAAGTAACCTGGAACCGGGAAATGGTCCCAAGGAGAAGGGTCCAAGCCAGGTTTCACTGGTGAGAGCGTACCCCCAATCACCGGTGCACCCTCCGCCGAGAGCTGGCTAGGAGAGAGGCCAAATGGCCGGAGACAACGAGGCTCCAACCAGAGCTGTTCCCCCTGCAACTAGGCCACTACCCTGCCTGTGGAACAGGTTCCTGATGCACAAGCAAATAGTTGCAGTGGGAAAATCCGAAACAAGCATCACTGCCAAATACCGCTTCAAAGCTTGCCCTCCCGTGCTTTCTTGAGGGCAAGGCCCAACTATATCCCACCATACTGTGGATGGACAAAATCCTGCACCACTTAAGAAACCCTGGAATGATGATTCTCCTGTGAATACCAACAAATTCTGGTTGCCCATGGTTTCAAAGTGGTGCAGGATTTCGTCCATCCACAGTAGGTGTCCTTTTTGCAAAATACATGGCCCTAGTAGATGACTGAACCACCAGGTAAACCAGGGCCTTCCACTCTTCAATTCAAACTAACCCGCAGCGACTGGCCACGCTCTGCTGCTGACACCCCATCGGGGCCTCTTGGGTTCAGCCTCCAGGTCCACCATCAACCGGTCGCAATGAGCCTTGTCCTGTGGCTTTTTGTTGGCCATCCACGCACCGGAAACCCAACCTTAGGTTCCCTGAATGACAAAAAGACCATAAAAATATCCTACAACTTGTCAAACAAGTATCAGAAGTGGTGCCAAAATGTACTCAACGGGTGCACCAGTTCATTTGTCCCCGCTAGAACTGCTCTTTCTTTCTCTCTCCCTCTCTCACTTTCTGTCTGTGTCTCTGTATCTCTTTCTTCGCTTTTGGACCGCAGCTGACACTGACGGTCCTCACCGAGTTGAGCCGCCGATGGCTCAATCTCCAGCTGCCTCGAATTCCACCCTTTGACTCCACGCAGCTCAGTTTGCCCTGTTCAGCCCCTAGCACAAAACTGGGTGAAACCAGAAAAAGCAGCCAAATCAAGTCTGGAAAGGGAAAGCATTCATCATTCCCAACTGGTCTGATCAAGTTTGCTATGTCTGGATGGAAGTTCCAGACCCCGGGGCACTTGCTTCTTTTGCGTCAGCCAGAAGGGTCAACGACTGCCCGGTTCCTCCAGTTGGGAACCGTTTTGTTCTCGTCACCGGCTGGGGTAGTTCACTCACCTTTGAACCTTCGTTGTTCAAAATTCCTTCTGTCAAAAAGGGTGTGTCCCTCTCGAAAAATAGCAATTCAAAGGGCTTCCGGCCTTGGAAAGGAAACCTTTTGGGGGGTGTCTCATGGCACATCACTGAAATTCATTCCAATGGGACTTGCTGAGCCTAGGGATCTGCACGCAAGGTGAGATTGGGGTAAAGCAAGCTCAAATAGAAATTCAAGGAGTCTTTACTCATGGGTTCTTTACTTCAGCTTGGTGAAAATACGGGTGCCTTGAAATCATGTTGGTGTTCGAAGGGAAAACAAAAAGAAGCAAATACCGTCTTTCTGTTCACTGGTGTCGAGTCCAATTTTGAGTTTGTTTGCAAACTCTCATAGCCCTGGCACTAATCAGCAACTGCACAAAAGGTATTTGGAAACGCCCATGGCACTACCCACTGCTACACACACAAACAAAATAATGGTTCATCTTCATTTTCCACGAAGGAACAAGGTCACTGGCCTGGGCTTCTCCAGCGGCTCTGGCTGCGCTGCTAGGTGCAGCGCCAGCTTCCGCAGCAGCTCCTACGGGAGGTGGCTTCGTGGCCTAGCAATGTTGACCCCCTACTTTTCCTGGGTTTAGTGGGGCATCAAACCACTTTTGGAGAGGAACATCCTCCCTTATTTTCAGCCATCGTTCTTCAAAAACCAGCCATTTCCCCATAGTTTTTGGTGGTTTGCTAGAACTACTGTGGATGGATGAATGAAGTGGATGGATGAAAATTGAAATCCATTTCGCACCACTTTGAAACTATGGGAAACCATTGTGTTGGTTTTTGCAGGAGGAAACGCCATTCCCGGGCAATCTTAGGTGGTGCAGGATTTCGTCCATCCACCGTATCCCAGGTTTATTAATAGGGAGGGTGTCCCCCTCCAAAAGTAATGATTCCCCACCAAACTGAGGGACACCCCTGTATCAACAAACTGGGGTTGACTAATATCGGGTGGCGCAGCCTGTTTTGCAAGCACTTTCAGGGTATGGTTTATTTGGGGCCTACACTTGCAAAATTTATCCTTGACCCAAATGAGCTTTAGAATCAGCTTTTAAAATGAAGATGGTCCAAAAGGCCCACACTTGAAACTCGATTCAATTCATTTCGCTCGGGTAGCCAGCTCCTGGCGTAAACAACTGGCCCCACTCTTGCACGATCATCGAAGTGGACGTCACCACTTCAGTTGGAAACACTCGGTGGTCAAGTTGTTTAGTTGTTTCGGTTGGAGGAGGCATTTTCCTTTGCAGGTCAGCGCGTTTCCGTCGTCCAAAGTTGCGCCAAAAGAAAATAAGCCAAGCCAGGGCTGACCTTGGCTTAGCCGGCATGCCCAATTCCCCATGTTTACCTCTTTACATCCGGCCAATGGAACATCACGGAAGAGGCTGGCCCAGAACAGGGTGCACGCAATCACCAAGAGCCGTTTTGAATATGATAACAAACCGGATGTGTGTCACAATCAGACCGTTGAATGGATTGCTTCATGTTGCTTTCCTTTCCATGCAGTCCCAAGCTGGTCGGTCCTTTTTTTTTGTTTTTTTTGACAGTAAACCACGAATGAATCTCTGTCTTGAACACCAAACATGTATTTCTTTAACACATATCATATTGAACCAGGTAATGTCGACCTCAGATTGTTAAACCCTGCAGGTCACCAGGCCCTGAACGGGGTCTATCAAATATCAAATGGGTTCTAGGATGCTACGCGTATTTTTGGTGCAAGCTGTTTGTCCCAATTGGTATGTTCAGGGTTTCAAGCTGCTGAAGCCACATGGGAGGACTTAAACCCAGTTGCTTCATTTCCCCAAAAGCTTCCGGAACCTTTGGATTACCCTCCCAACTGATGGAAGCTGACAGGAGGGTTTTGGAAGACTACTTTCCTTTTGAGAAAGCCTCCGATTCATTTCCATGATTGTTGGAAACGGGTGACAAAAAAAAGTAAGCCTCCCTTGGGCAATCAAAAAGTGGCACCCTCCGAATCAGCTACTCCGCCGCCGTCTCCTGATGCTCTGGCGCCGCATGGTTTCCGGATACCGGCGCTGCATGCATGGGCCCTGTGGACGACGCAGGCGCCGCTCGCGGCCGCGGCGCCTGGTCTAGCAGCGGCCAACATCTGCTGGTGCTCAGTAGGGAATGGCCCAGGGTGTGGGGAACATACCCAGGTTGCCTTTTAATGATTTAACGGAAATCACCAGTTGGATTGCTATTTTGGGGTCATTCCATTATTCATTCCCTGCCTATCGCACCAGCAAGAAAAGGGAGTGAACCAATTTTGGAGCACATGGCTGCGGCCAAGGGACTCTTTCTGGCCTGTTTAACAATTCGGACAAGATACACCCAATGTTCAAGAACGTCCCAGTGACAGGGCACCAGCGCAGCATGGCACATGCGCGCATGCCAAGGCAGCACAAAAGGAGGCAAGTCTTTTGTCAATATATTCATGGAGAATAGCAAGGCATGCAAGTACAGCATGAGTGGCATGTGGAGCACAAAAGCAGGTCCTGCAGATCGAGGAATCTTAAGACTTTGGCCCATCCGAGGAAACAAACGACTAAGGGCCGGCATTGCACTAGGGAGACATAAGCAGACGCAGCCCCCGACATGCGGCGATGTTTTTTTTGTTCACGGCCCTCTCGTGTGAGTTGAAAACATTTACTGCTTTAAAGTCATGAAGAGCTCCGGCCTAAGTCAATGGGCGGGCCTTCACGCTTGTTCTGCCGGGGTTGCTGAAGCCAAAATGCAACGAAGGACATGTTGTTCACACTTCCCAGGCGGGCCCCACTAAATAAGACAACGGCTGTTTCCACCTATCAGAGTGAGGTGCTCTCATTGGTGGCTTGCCTAGGCATCGTGGCGCAACAATCCTCCAACACAGCAATTTCGTGCCATTTGGCTGACACGTGTCAGGACCCCAAAGGGACGTGGCCTCCGTACCAGCAGTTGGCGAACCCAATGCGACGAGAAGTAATATGCCAACCCCCCTTTTAGGCCACCCCACCACCACCACCAGCAACAACAACAACTCTCAACCCCCGACTGGCCCCAACCCCCCAAACCCCCACCCTCAAACCCCCAGACCCATCCCAATCCCCCAAACCAGCCTCCGGTTCCTTTGGGACATCCGGCTGCGCGGCCAAGTGCAAGGCCAGCTTCTGGAGCATCTGCTTGTGAAACTCCTCGTCCCTGCCGCCGATTCGGGGCGCCTTCGGCACCTCCGCCTTCTCCACAACCTGCACCTGACGTTTCCGGCCACGGGAAAGCAGCGATCCGGATGCATTATACACCTGAGCATTGCAACTTGTAAATGGTGGTTTCCCTTTATTTTGGCGGAAAAAGCCACATGTGTCAAATGGTTGCAAAATGAAGACGCCGAGAAATCCAAGACCTCGGCTTCCGAAGCCCCAATGGGTAGCGTTGATGGGTAAAGGCAGCCATGCTGCAGAAACCAAACGGGGCAGCTGGCGCCCCGGCCCCCACTCCAAACCGAGCAAGCCAAACACCCCCGCCTTACTAGGACCACAACCTGCTATGACGACCCGCCATGATTCCAAGACTGGATGGACGTGTTATATCTTGGGAGTAGGCCGGGGAAGGAACATGCTCGTAGCTGTTGCCCGCTACCACCGGGTTTACGCGGGAACATGTGGTGTCACTTCCCCATGATCAAAACAAACGAATCAAAACATGTTCCAAGAGGACATCCCAAAAACACATGCTTGTCCATGTTGCTTCTTCATGAGCTCTTCCAAGAACTTCGAGCACACCTTTCGAGCATATCCCAACCCTTCCATCATAAGAACTTATTCTTCCATAGGGGGTCTGAAAGGACCGCTCTCTTTACCAGGAGCCATCCGCGCCCCAGGAAATGCCTTCCACCGCTTCCCTACCGGCCCTACCGCCCCTGCCGCGACGGGTCAAACCGCGCCTGCGGCGGACACGCCGCGGGGTAGGCCTGCGCCTCCGGGGCCTTCGGCTGCGCTGCCAGGTGCAGCGCCAACTTCCGGAGCATCTCCTCGCTCGGGCGCATGCGGCCGCGGGCGCCCGACCGTGGGTGGAGGTGGGGCGAGTCAAGCCCTGGCTTACACCATTCTGGGTGAGCCTGAAATAAGGTGGTTGGGGGGCTATTCCCCACATAAACCACCATTTGGGGTGAGGTCGTGTGTAGGTCGTTATAGTTCACCCAGAATCATGGAGTGGAAACCGCTGGTTGACAAGAAAACAGCCCGGTTGGAATACAGCAAACGGGATGGTGAGCTGGTTGGTTGAAGTAGGGCAACTAAACCTACGTGAGGGGATCATGGGTTTTGCGGAAGTGAAAGAGGGGGATTCTTGAAGTTGAGCGCTGACGTGCAAAGGGACAAAGGCACTAGCCCACTTGCTAGCCCACTTGCATTTGGGAAGTAATCACAGCAATGCCAATTACAAGGAGAGGAATATCTGTGAGTTGACGTTCAAAGATAGATATCACCGGACGTTGGTTTCGAAGTGGACGCGTATCGTTTCGAAGTGTCGCTCTCTCTCTCTCTCTCTCTCTCTCTCGCCTTCTCTCTCTCGAAAACAAAACCAAAAGCACACACACACACACACGTGGGTATGGCTCAAATTTAAAGAGCTGGAAGTTACGCGGGTTTTAGTCTTTGGTTCCATTTCTTAAGCTGCCATTTTGGTACCATTTTTTTGAGCCACAGCCACATCTGTTTCGAGCATGGGAAGGAACGACATCATGACGCTAAACATCGGAGGGCGTTTCATTTTTTTGTCCACATTCACGCAAGCATGGCAGCTCCAATGGCAAGCTTGATCGCTCCACTTGTAGATTTGGACGCCGACATTACAATGTCCGCCCAAATGTGACAATGTGTGGGCGTGTGGGGCACATGCAAGCTAACAACTCGCACTGAACCCATGGCAAGCAATACAACCGGCATAGAACTTCAGCACTCGTAAATGTTGACCCCATATGAATCAACTCCAGTTTACTAATACTGTGGATGGACAAAAACCTGCACCACCTAAGAAACCCTGGAATGATGATTATCCTGTAAATTAAATACCAATAAATTATGGTTTCCCATGGTCTCAAAGTGGTGCAGGATTTCGTCCATCCACAGTATGGTGTGTCCCTTGTGCAATGTGGGGAGTCAGACCGCTTTTGGAAGGCCCCCCCCGCCCCCTATTCATAAACTGGGGTCGATGATTATGGGTCAACATTGCTGCCCAACAACTGTGCCACCCGGGTCAACAATCAGGTCGCCAACAGTTGAGCCAACGGCTCAAACGGCCTGAGCAGGCTTTGCCAAGCCCCTTTGGTCAATAAAGCGATCACCTACAAGAAGTGCAAGGTGCGCCGCTAACTTTTCGGGTCGCTGACCCTCTCCCAAAAAGACAGAGAGTCCCTTGAAGGGTTTTGCAACACGAGGTGACACGCGCGGACAGCTCCTGGTGGAAGTTTTGGTCCTTGCGCTCCTTACGGCCTGCATGCGCAGCTGGCTGCAGGGGCAAAAGTAGAGTAGAAGTCGCATTACAGCCTGACTCAATAGCTCCTGTGGCCTGTGTCCATTTCAGTTTTAGTTGGCCAATCGCTTTCCAGGTTGTGCACAGCTGAAGCAATCTCTGGGACTTACAAAATGCTTCGACAACCGCCCCTGCAATTGCCACTGGTAGCTAACAAACTGCAAACGGGTTGCCCTTGCTCGGTGCTTTTGCTTGAGGCTCCCAAGGACTCTAATTGCGACAACTCCGCGCATCTAAATCATACTCTGGCAGGGACCCAAAACTTCGCCTCTGCACTGCGGATTGACTGGCAAGAAGAACCTATCTCAAGCTGATGCTCCCAAAATAGTCTGCTTCCAAAACACCATGCAGCAGGTTGACTCGCAAAGGGCTTCTCATCATGTAACCCCACCGCACCAGCCCCAGCCTTTGCCCTCCAAGGTTTCCAGGAGGCCGTGCACTATGTAACTGGGCACGCAGACGCAGTGATATCCCTCACCCTCCTCATAGCTGAAGCTGGAGGCATTCCTGTCTGTCCTCAGTCCGCCAGCTCAGCCCGGTGAAATGTAAAGCCACCAAAACTACAGTAAGCGCATTTTTATCCTGCCCCCTACCTGCCCCACCTTAAGGGGGAGCGGGGTTCCAATTCATCCAGTCATAGGGACAACGGAACCAAACTTACCCTCCCCCAATTTCATTCTCCAGGGGTTGGGGATGTGATGCCAAAGGAAGCCTGCGACAGCATCCCGACCGCTCAAAAGAAGCCGGGGGCCAACACCCAAAACTTCCCCAAAAGGGTCCCTTCTAGCACAAGCACAAACATTAACACGCACACACACACACAAACAAGCAAACAAACAGAGCCACACATCACACATAGACACAGAGAGAGAGAGAGATAGAGAGAGAGAGAGAGAGAGAAAAAAAAAGAGAGACAAGGAGCGAGAGAGAGAGAGAGAAAGCCAAGCTCAAACACACCCTCGCACACCAAAGAATGCTATGGCCAAGCATCCACACAGGCATGCCATGCTCCTCTGGAGTAGCGCAAAAGCTTGGAGTGTCCGGCCGACCGTCCGAGTGTTGGCCTACACTCTCCTCACTGGGCTCGACTTGTTTGAAGAAGGGAGCACACTCACAGAAGTGGCTGACGTTCTCCGGAGACTCGTCCCGCATCGCCTCTGGTTCTTGTGGCTCAGGCTGCGCATCAGGCTGTGCGGCTAGGTGCAGGGCCAGTTTGCGCAGCATCTCTTGGTGGAACTCTTGCCTTGGCTGCAGGTGCGCGCAAAGCAGGGCGGCACCGACAAACCAGGCTAGGGGCGTCCGCTTGTGAAGTTGCCAGCTCAACAGCACACATGTTTTCGACAAACAAGAAAAACATAAAAATGAGAACGAAGACTAACAAAATGGAGCTTCCCCCCCCCCCCACCAAGCCCATGAAATTCATGAAATGGTTGACTCCCCTTTCAGCTGGGCGGCTGGCCTGGCCCCAGAGCCTTCCCCTCAGACTTCTTGTCGCTGTGCTTGGGGCCCTTGCCGGAGAATTGCGGCGCCATCGCGCCGTAGAGTGGCGCCATGGTGTCCACCAGCCCATACGCAATGTACGAAGGTATCCATACCTAGTGGCTCAAGGACCCAACCGCAGATTTGGCTCAACTTTGCCTCAAAGGGCCTGAGGGGTGCCAAAACTAAAACATCCCCTTAGCAATAATTGTGCCCCCTTCTAGTACAGACGTGGTTTCAAAATCCCACCGTCGCCAGGCTGAACTAGAATAGGCCAAGTATAAATAGATACTAAACCAGCGACTCTCTCGACCTCTCTTCCAGTGATATATAGGGGCAAACCCCTACGCAGAAGTGGAAACACCGGAGTTGACGACCCTAATAACAAAATGTGCCTGTCCGCAGAAGATGTTGTGTTTCATACGGAGGGGGTGCCGCTTATTATTATGTATACGGGGGAGCGGATTAGTTTGAGCCACAGCCATCTTGGCTCGGGGCCGACCTGGGAGTCAAAACTGGGTACCCTTTGCGAACATGACCAACCATTTAAATGGGACGCCAACAGCATCCCTCTCCCAACTTATCAACTTGAAACCGGGTCTTTGGAAGGTAAACGAGCTCAACCGCGCAGTAGACGGAACTCCTGCACCACTCCTGTGACACTGCTCAACATTAAACTAGGGGCGCAGGGCTCGTCCCCCTGTCACCTGCATATGGGTCATTGCCCGAGGGCAATTGTCTTCTATTTTCCGTCCACCGTGTTGAAAAGCGCCTGGCTACACTTGTCCAATCAGGTTGCCCTTTCACAGCGCCCCAAATTGATCCAACTGCGTACCAGGGTTATCACTATATAGGAAAACGCAAAGGACTCCTTTGAACTCGACTCTTTCACTTCGGCACAGCTACCTCTTTCGCCGACTAGGGGAATCACGGTCAAAGCCCTGACGCGGCGTTGAAGGTGCTTGAATCCCTCTACCCAAGCTCGCTTCTCTGCTCCAATGAACACCTGTTTATTAATATGGGGGGTGACCCTGGTTTTAGTGGGGATTTAAACTACTTTTTGAAGGGGCCCCCACCCCCATTTCAATAAACATGTGCTATTGTTAGTACGGGGTCAACATAATTGGTAGCCTGTCTGTCAAGGCCTTTCCAGATCTTCAGTAGCCCAGCTTCATCTTTGTCCTTCCTTGGGCTCGAGCCTTTGCCCCTGTTTTTGCGGGGTATCCCCTTTGTGTGGTGGCTTCAAAGGGAAACCAAAAGGAAACCCGAAGCCACGCCACGGGAGGCCACCCAAAACAACATACTCATATTGGAGATGACCCCAGCCTTCCCGTTCCAAGGCTAGAAGAATTGCGAAATGGGTCAAACGTCTGCCATCGGAAAGCCATGGGAGTGTGGTTGTAAAAAAAACGGGTAACCCCACAATGGGTTGCCCTGGTACGTGGAAGCATGGGGACCAAAACCTGCGGTCCAATTCCTGGTGGCTTAATTCTGACCCATACCCGTATGGGCACTTGACACTGTCTTCAATCGGAGGGGCAGCATCCAAGTCCCCGCATCGAAAGCATGGGATATGCCAAAGCCATAGGAGGCACCTAACACCGTTCAAGTGGAGGCGACGTCAGACGTCAGCCCGCACGAGCATCCAAAGGTCAGCTTCCCTGCAATTGGTGGTTTGGATTGGTGGTTTGGTGGTTAGGGGTGGTTTCCCATTCACCCTCTGCAAGGGCCAATGTCTCCAATCTCCAAAATCACCAATCTATACCACCAATTAGGGCTTACCTGATCACCTGATCCAAAGCAGAAGCCATATGCCAGGATGCATTGGAGGGCATCAGCCAGCCTGGCCAGGCATCCTCCTTCCCGCTCGGAATGGGCCAAATCGGGGCTTCCGTGGCGATGAACATGTGGTTCGCGCTCATGGCACGCTCCCTTCGGCCTGGCAGCTGGTGGAAGGCCGAAAACAAACAGACAGACAGACAGACAGACAGACAGACAGACAGACAGACAGACAGACAGACAAACAAACAAACAGAACGGACGAACGGGCAAACGGGCAAACGGACAAACAAACAAACAAACAAACAAACAAACAAACAATAAACAAACAAACAAACAAAACAAAACAAAACAAAACAAAACAAACAAACAAACAAACAAACAAACAACAAGAAAGCAAGCAAGCAAGCAAGCAAGCAAACAAACTAACAGACAACCAAACACCTTCACATGTCCACAAACCAATGAGAACAACTTGCGTGGCCTCATGATCCTCAAAACAGACTTGTGAAGCAGCGCAGGTCAATTTATTCGGAGCGTCTCCCTGCTGCACATTGACGATATGCAAGGGCGATGAGAAGGTTCCCGGACAACGCCTCACAAAACCCTATGACGCCTTTTTCATGGGCAGCCCTCCTTCCCCCAAAATCCTGAGCAGTAAGACTGAATGAGCACTTCCCTTCCGCACCTGGCACTGCACTAAAGATCGGCCGTCGGCCGCAGGCACAGTCGGCCGACCTGGCCGGCACGGCGGGTTTCGGGGGGTGGGAGTCCGCAACTTGTTCGTGTCCAGGCTGCCAATTCACGGGGTGCAACGGTCTACTAAATCCACCATGTAAGTGCGCAATTCTTTTTCGAGAGGGGGGCGGATATCTTGCCCTCACCAAGCGCGTTGTTCCAGGCGGGCTGAAAAAAAGCCAAGACTTCCAAATACCCAATGGTTCAACTTCCGCTGATACCTGGCGTCTCTCTACTTGACCCGATGCACCTTCAAGTTACTCAGATCAACGACACCGAGAACGGCAGGCAATCGTAATAACAACGTCCGTGCCTCCTGCAAATGCCAGACGCTGGTCACCGTAGGAGCCCAAATGCCACAGTCGCGGAGTGCAAGGCAAGGACAAATAGTGGCAACAACTTCCAGAAGCGAGCTTCTCCAGTGGATGGGCACTTTTGCCTCGTGAAAGGTGTCTGGAGTATCAATAAAAGGCCACGTGCTTTCTTGACTCCGGAGTTCTAAAGCTGGCAAATTTATTGGCAGGTGTTCTGGTCCAAGAGGCAAGGGTTCCCTCTCACATATCTAAAAATTTGGTCGCTATGAGTCAACCCAGGGGTACCGGTTTATTAATCCTGGGTTCCCATCTGCTGATTCACATGGCCCATACGCACACACGCACGACCGGCTCACAACCAGTGAGAGGTGCAAGGCGGGTTGGCGCCTGCCATGCCAGTCCTCAACTTCGGCTCGTGCCACGTACAACCTCGCGGCTTGGCGTGGTCAGGGTCAAGGCAGCGGACTTGCGCGTGAAAACAACAGAGGGTGATTCTTTTCTTGGGCCCCGGTTTTGGAAATGCACAGGTCCTCTTTTGCTTCCTTTTTTTCCGCTTGCGCTCTCTCCAGCCCTTTGAGGGGATCCATGTTTTTCACCCAAGCTCGGAAGGAAAGAGGCCCCAGGCTCCAAGGCTCCAAGGCGGCAGCGGGATCTTGGCAGCGACCGCCTCGAAGAACTGTGTGTCCATGCCAGCCGGGGAGGACTGACAGGGCTCAGTGGATCGATCTCAGCTCTCCTTGCATCTGGCAACGCACAAGCGCGGCAGAAGGCAGCCTTCAGGCTGTCGTTGATCTCAACCTGAGGCAATTTCACAGTCTCATCAATGTTGTCAACGCACATTCTCGGGGAAGCCCGCTCCTTTTTGACTGTTTGGAACATCAGGGGTCGGAATACAAACAGGACTACAGCCACGATCTGGGTACAGCCACGATTTAGGTGCCAGATCGATTTAGGTGCCAGGAAAGCTAGTCAGGTCTGCTCATCATGAATTGAACTTTGAACAGAAAGATCCAAACTCTGACTGAAGGCCGGGCCAACATGTCGGCCAGCTCACGCTTGGACTTGGAGCAAAGCAGCTGGTGGATCTCGTCCACCACGCCTGGCAAGGCCGATTGGCGAGGCATGAAAAAGGTAAGCCACTTTGTGTGTGCGTTCTTGTTGTCTTTTCGGGGGGGGGGGGGGGGTTGCAACGGAAATCAAAGTTGTCCCACTTCCTGAGTGGAGGGGCCAACCAAAAAGTCCAAGCTGTTCAATAAACACTGAAATGGCTTCCCAAAAAGTGTAAAGTGCAGGAACTGAGGAAGTGAGGCAAACAAGAAATTAGCTGAGCCACGTCAGCAGCTCCAGCTCGAAAGCCGAACCGGTTCAGTACAAGCGCAGTAAGCGAAGCTCACCTCTACAGCTGCTGGGGCTATGCAACTAGGTATGCAACGACTTTGTAACAAGGCATGGCACGAAAAAACGGATTCTTCCGGCCCCTCCCTGCTACCTCTTCCAACTTGTCATCTTCTGAAGGGCAAAGCCTGGGCAAGTTTTTTCTTCAGGGAGCCTTGAATGCCTGGGTGGAATCGCTCGCTTTGACCCCCGAGTCGGCGAGCCTTCTGCAACTCCCGGGCCCAGGCCGCTGATGGCAGTGCCTGCTTTGGCTCTTCCTGCCTGCGAGAGCAACTCATCTGCAAAGCTCTGCGAGCACCTGCCCCGCCTTCTCCCGCCGTTTGCCTTCATATGCGTCGTTGGCGATATATCTCATGGCCTACAGGGCGAAGCGTAGGGCTTGTCCCACCCAAAAGGCCGGGCAATGAAAACAACAACTGCCAAATGGGACCATCGCAAATCCTAATGTTGAAGCCATCTAATAACATGTCTTCAGTTAGCTGTCCGACCAACATGGCCAGCAAAAGCCCCGTCCTGCCAAAAGTCCTTGCGCTGCGTGTCGATCCGAACAAAGGTGCCCACTTCGTCCATGATTTCCTCTACCTTGCCGGGTAAACGACACACCACCCATGTGGATGCAAGAGCCACGCCAGAATGAGTCAACAGCGCAAGAGCCTCCAAAACATAGTTCTCTCTCGAAATTGTGTGTTCTGGTTTGAGAACAACGTCCAGCTAGCCGTCATTCGGAGAGGCAAACCCCGACTTTCAAGATGCATGCCAATTGCTTTGTCAACCTCGCAGCCCCTCCTCATCAATGTTCAGGTTCACGAAGAGCTGGTGCGGCGGCTTGTCTAGGATTGTCATCTCCTAGCTGGCCGGGCAATCTCTCTGGATGGGAGAATCGCCATGAGGCTCTCTGGCACTGAGGCCTTCGCCAGAAACATCACAATCATAGGTGTCTGTTCGGTAAACTAGATGGGTTTATCTGGCAAATGGTTCCAAAAACCAATTTTCCTAAACCAATTAAAATGCCCACTTATTTGGGTGTGAGTCAAAATAGGGGGACTCAACAGAGTGTCTCTTTCCGAACCAACCCCAAAAACGGGTTCGCTCAAGAAAAAAAACGCACCCATTTCTACTCAAATCAGGCGATGAAAAGGACACCACCAGCACTCCCTGCCTCAAACTCTTCGCCTTCGGCTATGGACAAGGCCTTTGCCACTAAATCCAAAGGCCTCGGCTTGCCGGGGGCTTGCAGGGCTTGCAGTGGGACCAGCGATGGGTTTTTTTGGGCTCAACATTTCTGACTTCCGATCGAGTGAATTGGCAAAATAATGTAAGCGGAGCTGTCTATTTATCGCTAAAACTATCCAAACCCAGAAAATGACTCAAGTCCAGGAACTCACGAAGTGAGACATGGGGCATCTGAGACCCAGGGTAACTTCGTGTAGGTAACCTCCGAAGCTTTGGGCACCTACAGAAGAGAATCTGCATGGCCGACCCCGAAAAAGCCCAAATTCATGGGTACATATGAGTCGAAATTCCAAGCACCAGAAATGGGGCGGCAAGGTGTTCGCCCAGGTTTTTCCATTTGCCGGGGCCTAGCAGCCATTTTTGGGGTTCCCGGTTCCAAGCTATGGACCCACCAAATGGAGTGGCGCCTAGCGAGTTCAGCTCCAGGCCGTTCCCGGCCCTGCTCGATCCGAAGCTTCACCCGGGCCTCGCGGCCGGCTTTTTTTTTTCTCCGACTGAGCTCTGACGGCAGCGATGGGAAACGACTCTGGGAGGACAGCTATGGGTCATGGATTTGAAGGACAACATTTTTTGGCTCGCGCACTGTCCATTGCCTGCACCTCGCGATGTATTGAGTTGGGGTAATGTTTAAAAGAAGCAGCTGTCATCTGCTAGAATCGTCAGCGACATTGCAATCTCTCTCCAGCCTTGATGAACTGCGCATGTTCAACCCTCTTTTGGAGCACTTGGCCTGAATTTACTGAATTTTGGCTGCTCACCTTCTCACACAGGGCACTGGGAACAGAAGTTTTCAACGAAACTCCAAGTGCTGGAGGGACCCTCCGAACTGCGGCTTCTAAGTTCAGTGGTGGTTGGGTGACATGCAAAAAAAAAAACTGGGATGCCACCGGCCATGTCGCAAACAAAGCGGCCGAGCCCAGTTGCGATTGGCCAACCGCACTGGGGTCAAACCACAAGGGCGATGAAACAACACCCCTAAAACTCAACCCCAGCATGGAGAGCTGTTACCCTTGAGACATTCGGTCCTTCAGAGCTTTAGGTTGACAAAGGAAGTGACCCCCTGCATTTGCCAGACATTTAAGCACCGAAATCATTCTGCGCTGATTCACTTGGTCTTTAAAATATGTTGCCGTGCCTATCGCCAACACACGGAAATCAGATCTGAACACCGGCCTTTGCGTTGTCCAAGTGGAACTTCTCCTCTTTGGTAAGCCACTCGCCGTACTCCTCGTCGTGAATTTCCTGACAGGCTCCATCCCTGCGGCTCCGGGTGGACAATGAAACCAGTGAAACACTGGCTGTGATATAAAAAAGAAAAGAACAAACAGACGAGGGTAGATGTGGGACATGGGCCTGAAGAACAAGTGATGCATTTGGATTATCCACTGCCACACGCCAAAGGCACCCTTGAGACAGACTGGGCCAGGATTTCCCCTCGCCACCAGTCACAGGAGGAAAAAGGACAACTGAAAAACAAAAAAAGGCCCCACAAGCAATCAGTGTTCCAGAACCTCCTTGACCGCTTTGATCTACCTCGGGACTGAATAAAGATCTGCGTCACTATCGTCTGGCCCAAAAAGATGTGCCTGCCGACACTGTTCTCAGTGAACTCCTCTTTACTCTGCTACCACTCGACTCATACGGAGAAGAAAAAAAGGAAGGGGGGGCGAGAAAAACGGGACCTGTGGCAGGTGCCTACAGCTGGAACCCGCACGCGGAATTCGCGACTCTCGCCTTGTCGTGCTCCAGCCTCTGCTGCTCCAAGAGCTGACGTTCCACTTCCCGCTCGTCCCTTCGCTTCTTCACCTGAGTCAAACCATTTTTGGCGTCGGTGTACTTGAGGCCGGAGGCTCTCCAAGGGAAGTCTCACCTGATATGTTTTGTGTTTTCTCAAAAAAAAGACGCAAATCTAGGCTTGATTCCTTTTCCAGTCCCTTCAGCCATCCTTCTTTTTGAAAACCAGCGATGGGTTTCCGGAGGTTTTCTAGAAGGATTCCTGGAAAGAATGGGGAAGGTAACCCTAAACTAAGCGACGCTCACCGATGTTTTGCTTTTCCCCGTATAAAAAGCACAAGCATGTCGAAAACAGGTGTAGAGTCACAGGGAGCCGTAGATTCGTAGATGCTGATAGTTGATGACAAATGGATACAAAATGCCGAACAGTAAACCAAGAAAAAGCACATCATAATATCTAATCTCGAGGCTGTCAAACATGTTGAAGGCGTGTACACCTGCCTGATCCTGTCTTCCATTTGCTTAAGCCCCCTGGAAAAAACACATGTCCAGTAGTGACAAATTCCCTTAAAAACCAACAGGAGGAAAATAATAACAATAAACACACACACAACAAAAAAACAAAAAAAACTATCAGCAAATGGGAGCATCCCGTCTGAAGAGGAAAAAGCTCGCTTCTTTGCCCCCCACCCCGCACATGAGAATCTCATGGGCGCCTGCTGGACCTCCTTGATCTTGGTTTGCATCTTGTTGACCTCCTGGTCTTTGCTGGAGGGCCTGTAGAGGCCTGCCGGCAGGGGAAATAAAGTGAGCTCCCCCCCCCTGAAGGATCAATTCGCAGCATTGGGAGGGTCCCATCTTTGTGACACATTTGCACAAAGGCTAGCTGATTTCTTGGAGCGCCCTGCGGTACCTCCGTGCCGAAAAGTTCCTTCGGTCCAGACATGAGCCGCCACTGAACGGGCTGCCCTGCGTAATGATTAAGTGAACGGACCAGCCGAAAGACACAGAAGTGAACGAGTGACGAGGTTTCTTGGCTGTCGCTTCATGAGTTGAGATGTGCCGAAGTGTATCTCGGCTGCTTTGGGGGAATTGCTTTTTTCACTGACACCTTTCTTCTAGGGGACCCCCTGAAAAAGAAAAACAACAAATTGGGAAGGGTATGAATAAGGGGCCAACAAAACAAGACCAATGGTTGGCCGACCTTCGAACAAGGCTGCCTGCTGCTTGCAGGTACTCATTCTTCTTCTTCCAAACAAACTTCTGGGTGAGCGAGTTGTCCCCGAACCTTAGCCGCCGCAAGGAATTTGTCCAAGGAGCGCACATTCTCAGGACATCTACTATATATGCACATGCATGAGCATAAACTACGTACATACGTCAACATGGAGGAACATGACATGGGACATTTGTGTCCTCTGCCGCAAACAGGGGTCCGGATCGGCCCGCGGCCGAAAGCATCTAGTCCCGACCGTGTGGTCCGGACGTCTTTCCGCATCGTCTCCGTTCCAGATGTCTGGATCAAACACTCTCGTTCGGGACAGCTGGAACACTTTGATGGATCAGAAGCTTCGCTCCGGCCCTCTCTTCAACCTCCGAGACCCTCAGGGTGCTGCGGAGGGGTGGGCCAGATCCGATCCGCGAGAAGTTGACTCGCTCCCCCTATCGCTCTGTTTGGTTCTCTCCCCCTCACTCTTTCTCAGTCTCCTCGCTCTTTCCTTCCTTCCTTCCTTCCTTCTTTCTTTCTTTCGCCGCTTTAGCGGAGTTTCCCCTGGCCTCTTGGGCCAAGCTCCCTCGTTCTTGTTCTATTCTTCCCTTCCCACGCTGGAATAAGATGCGTCTGGATGGGAGGTCTGGACTGGAACGAGGTTGCAGGTGATCCGGACGTTTGGAACTAGGTCTGGACGTGTGGGCTTGTTCCGGACCGAAAAATTAGGGGTTGATCAAAAGCTCCGAGATACATGGGACGACCATTGGGGGAAACCGCTAAAACAATGATGATTCCCACAAAATAGAACAAGTTCACCATGGCCACTTGGGGGCCAGGAACATTGATTAACTTTCATATACTATGTCAATGGTTGGCCGCTGCCAAATATGCCAAATGGCCCTACGGATGGCTTTTTGCAGGTCACTGCAGCGACGGCAGCATGTCCGAGCTGGGCGCGGGTTGCTTTCATCTTTGTACCCGAGCTCCTTTGCGAGCAAATCCTTGCGCTTCTTTTTCACCTAAGTGAGGCTCCCATGGGCAGCGACAAAGCAATTCCAAGAGCCAGCCAGCCCTCTCCGGGGCCAAAGCCTGACCAGAACCTGGAAAAATAATCATGAGGATGCCAGTAAGTGAAGAAATAAACCTTCCCACTGCAGAAAGCTGTCGGTGAGCTCCTTCTTTCCTCTTGGGCTTTGCCATGAATTAGGCAGCTTCATGTCACAGAATGGGTGGTGGCCAGCGGCCGACTACAAAATCACCATCCCATTGAATCCTATTGAATCCAGCGCCAGGATGCAGGTGTAAAGCCTGTGGGTTGCACACAAGTGGGTTTTGGTCTACACAGATAGTGAGCCATGGATGCAGGTGTCATTTTTTTCAGTGGGCTAACAAAAACCATTTTGCTCTACAGAACGTGTCTATTAGCCATGGGGCGAGAGGACAACCTTCCAACTCCACTCAAATGAGGTGTGCCACATCTCCTCTCCCTTCTCCCGGTTTTTCCGGTCAGCGACAGCGCCCGCTGGCCCGTGGGGTTCCCACTCAGTTGCCCCTTCAAACCCAACATGCAGCGGAGAATAACAATTGGCCGAGAAAAACTTGAAGATCAAAAGGTCAACTCGCTTTGGGCAGAGAATAAGCTTTCAGATCTGCAGACTTGACTTGCAATAATTCCACAACGCAACTAAAGGACGTACATCAGAGGGAGCTCATGTTACCCCCCTAAAGGACATAGGCAGCAGGATGTCCTGGCCAGTTTCATTGTTTCAGCCCGCCCAACTCGAAAAGAATGCGCTGAGGTCAAGTGGCATTCAGTGCTCCGCCGGCTTGCCGCCCGGCCTAGGAAAATATTCTCGGATATTCTCGGTGTGCCCCGACCGAAGAAGCTCGACTGTTGGCAGTTATGTTTTATCGGAAAAAAAAAAGAAAAAGGAAAACATTTCCCCCGACAAGGTGCAGGTTTCAAGGTCAGAAATGGCAGCCAAGAATGGGCAAGTGGTCTGCCCAACAAAGTTTATCCCAAAAGGCGTGACTTCGCGGAGCCATTCGAAGAAAGCATCCGTTCACCTAACATTCGGTAAGGTCGAACACCTTTTCATAAGCTACTTGGGCTGCACCCATGTTCTCCAACGCACCCCGATGGGGTCAAATGAGGCGCCACTCAAGTCCAACGAGCTATGCCATCTTGCCGACAAAGGCCCTTCAGCCTCTGTTGGCTGAGCGAGGCCGTCCTAAACGGGGAAACCCATTAGAGAGCCCTAAGAGAAACCATGCTATCTACATAACATATCTTCATGACATGTTGGGCTCACTTCCTGAGTGGGTTGGCCAAAAAAACTTCAAACTTCTTATTTACCCCTAAAACGGTCATCCCAAAAAGTTTCAAGTCCAGGAACTCGGCGAGTGAGTGTGGCACGCTTCATCTATCTCAAAGCCCAACTGCGCGCCCGATTGCCAACAGCAGAAAAGCACCGCTTTTCAGCTGGGCCCCAGGCCGGGCTGCGACTTCGGTCAGCCATCCTGCGGACGCCGGATGGCTGGACGTGCCCCATGCAGCTTGATCTACTGCAAGTGGGGAACCGGGCTTCGCCCTCTCCCACTAAATGTCCTGCTAAAGGGACCCTCTGTCGAGTCAACTTCCACGCCAGTCTCAGGGCGTGTATGCTCCTGTGCTGTCATGCGCCGTGTTGCGCCACACTTGTTGCACCCCCCAAGCAGCTTCCCCGCGCTCCAGGTTTAGGCTGGAAAAGCCCGGTTGAACATGATAGATCCTGCAGGCCCTGGGAAGGTTCTAAGGTGACACGGAATGTATGAAAGGCGTATAACCCATGAAGAGATCCTGTTCTGTGCTTCTGCTTTGACATAGGAGAGCTCGTCATACGCATGTCTGTTTTCCTCATGACGGCCCTTCGCCGCGCCTCAAGGAGCCAAAGCCGCATCTCTCACATGGCTGCTCCGGGCTCGAAACGCTGGCGGAAAAGGACGGCGGCACGCAACGCAAAGGTCAAACCGAGGGATGGCCACCAAATGTACCGCGGACACTTTATGTCACCTGCGCATGGATGATTTCATTCAGGTGGATCTTGGTTCTTGGAAATCAAATGGGCGGACCGAACAGGCGGATGTCTCTGTCCCACCGAAAAACAGACACACATTCAAAATTATACGTGGTGCGATTTCAGAAGGAGCGGCAAAAGGAAACCCTGCACTTCAACTGAGGTGCCTAGTATTGACTGCACGTCAACTCACAAGCCTGGGTGGGTTGCCATCCTGCCATGAGCCCTGAGGCCACGGCAAAGCAAGCGTGCAAAGAGCGCCTTGCTCATGTTGGTTGACGCCTGGGCCACGAACCTCTCTGGCCCCCGTGCAAGCAACCGCTTTTCGCATTTTTTGGCGTGGGATGAAGTAAAACTGCATGCGGAGCGAATCATGCGTGATCGAGTCAGCTGCGCAACTGCTGAAGGCCGCGGCACATTGCGGCGGCAAGCGAGCAAAGTACGAAGCCATGCGCCTCGCACCGTCAAGATCCGTGAAGAAATATCGAAAGAAAAGAACATGTTCAAGCTACAGTCGCCCACGCGAACAAACCCATTTGGCGAATTGGAAGCAGGGAGACGAACAAAGGAGAAAAAGGAACGCATCTTCTGGAGCCTTGGCAACTGGCAATCCTTAGTGAAGTTGTGAAATATTTTGGCTCATGCACACATGGCGGCAAGACAGAATGCTACTGAACACCCCTGACAGCACCAACTTGGCTGAGGGTCTGCGCTAAGGTATGCTAAGGTGCTCGCGGATGGTGGAAAATATCCACGTAGCTGAACCGCAAGCGATGCCTCAGAAAAATGAAAAGGCGGGCAGGAAATCCCCCACGCAACCGTCTCAACCCTTCGAGTCTGCAAAACATGCCCAACCATAGCAAATCCTAGTCAGTTCTTCTTTGGTTTGAGAAGAAGCCCCGTCTATGAATCCCATTGCTCGGCACATGCTGAGGCGCAACAGCTCAACTTTGCCATTTGCTCGCAAAAGTGCCGAGGCTGCATGAGGCTGCAGCATCAAATGCGGAACTGCGAGCTGCATTTCGCGCATCACTCGCCGCCTAAGATGTCGAAATTGCGCGCCAACCCGGCAAGCTGCCCCAAAGTTGGAACATGGCTGCCTCGATGCACGTGCTTGAACACGACTGCCTTGTTTTGGTGGGAGGATCAGCGGGGGTCCGCCCAGGTAAAGCACACGGCAGCCGGAGCAACCATCAGCAGCAATAGCAGCGGCGCTGCCATCACCACGACAACCACAGCCACAGCGAACGCGACAACGACGACGACCAAACAGGCCACCACACAAATAACAAAACCAAACAAGCGACCAACACACAACCAAACAACAGAACGACAAACAACACACAAAAAACACCCAAGAACAAACACACATCGGGTTTTTTACGGCCCGATTCCTCGGCCCCACGCCAATCTCGGATCCTTAGGAACCAGGAGCAAAAGTGTCAAGCTGCGCACCAGCAAATGCTTTTGGGGCCCCTGCAGATCCCGAAGACAAACTTGCACCAAGGTCATTAAAAGAGGTTGTGATACACTGGCGTGCGCTGCGTGTGATGTTGCCGCCACTTCTGGGGATAGCCCGGGATAGCCTTTATCGTAGGAAGCCTGCATCAAGTGAAGTTGCCCGGCATGAATGATGCTGATGCCCTACCTTGCGCATGAGGCCGGTGCCGCTTGGCTCGTGTGCGGAAGCGGAAGCAGAACCCGTTTTGGTGCACTTGGCTTTGAGCTTCCTGCCCTGGCTGGTCCCCGAAAATGAAGACGCGCAATGGCCTGAGGAAGATGAGAAGCGCCAGTCGATGTTCAGCAGCGTTTTCTTCTTGGTGTCCAAGCCCAAGATCAGATTGAGACATTGCCAGCACGGAAACACGCTATGCACTGCATCTTGACCTCTTGCGAGAAATGAAGTGGGCTCAGTTCGCATTACCCATTTCCCTCAGCCACGAGACGAGTATCAAACATGAAACTCCAAGGGTCGACATGGCTCAACTGCTCACCTGACTCCATCCAGACGCTCATGTGCTCGGTTCGGCCCCATGAGCTCGGTCGAATGGTTGTTTGAATCTGCACCAAGTGGCGTGCTGCGGTGCTTGAGGATGCTCCAGAAAGTAACCACCTGGATTCCAAGGCGCAACAGGCACCATCCGAAGTGTGCTTGAACAAAAGCATATCCCCCACATGGTTGCCGTCCACCCCCGGTCCGAGCACTACAAAGGTAGAATGACCTCCCTGTAC